TCGTCTCAGCTGGTCCATCGACAAGCTGTCACTCACTAACTGCGTGCTGTGTGTCTCACCAACTGCTATCACACAATCACCAACACCTACGCATCTTCCCGAAGCTTCACTGTCGTACACAACCGACAATTTGTACAACTCACATCAATCGTACACACAAACAGTGTTGCACGAACGTGCACTTGATCAAATAACTGCCCACATGGCTTATTCTAGCTTTTGCACAAACCAATTAATTTACTCTTCTCCAGTCACTACCCACACATTTCGACCTTGCCAACTATTCTCTCATAACCTTGGCTGTTTCTATTTCACAGCGTATGTGTGTATCGCTTACTCTATTTATCACATGTCTTCAGCTTATCTCTGTCTAGCTATAAGAATGTAGTCACCTCTTATCAAATTGAGTTGACGCACTCGTCTTCTCCGTGTCGCTGCGCTTTTCTGCTTCGCTCCGCCTTCCTGCTGAGCTGTGCTTTTCCACTTCTCATCCTAATGCCTGTCTGCATAAACTAGTGCATGAAATAAATTCATCTGACTGAATCTGTATTTGGCTCCTCGTTACCGCCGTCGCTCAAATGCGGTTAGTCCATGTGTAATAAGTGGGATTGAACGGAAGATGTAGTTTCATTGCGTATTTAGTCGTTCGTCCAAATCGAAGTCAGATAACGGACCAATGAATGCTCACCGCCAGACAAATGCCGCAACACATCAATCATGTGCATTGGATAGGACGGATAGTCAGATCGGTCAGACTACGATTTTACACCTAGATATGTTTATGCACAGTCGGTTGTATAGTTTCACTCAACGTCAGACACAACTTGTATCGCTCTATCACACACACACACACACACACATGTGCTGTGACACGTCAGTTGCCTGACACCACTCTGTTCAACGAGATCCTACACCAGTTCGTCAGTTGGTCTGTCGGTTCATCGAACGAACAGCACCACATATCCACACCGATTCCTCCTACTCCACACGTTTACACCTGCATGTGACGGTGCACGTGCGTAATTGAGCAGTTGTAATTCAGAGAATATCCTTCGATGGAAGTGTTGTGTGTGTGTGTGCGAGCGTTTGTTGGCGTGTACTGTGGGTAATTTCGTGTGAGCAGAACGACACTAGTGACGTGGCCGAGTGTTGTTGGTAGTTATGGTGTGAATGTGTGAAGTGGTGTATGCCAGTGGTCGCGCAATTGTGGCCTCGTGGTGTAGCGGTTAGCACTCTGGACTTTGAATCCAGCGACCCGAGTTCGAGTCTCGGCGAGGCCTTGTCCGGTGGGCACTTTTGAAACTATCACTCACCATGTGCATCACACGTCGTCTCAGCTGGTCCATCGACAAGCTGTCACTCACTAACTGCGTGCTGTGTGTCTCACCAACTGCTATCACACAATCACCAACACCTACGCATCTTCCCGAAGCTTCACTGTCGTACACAACCGACAATTTGTACAACTCACATCAATCGTACACACAAACAGTGTTGCACGAACGTGCACTTGATCAAATAACTGCCCACATGGCTTATTCTAGCTTTTGCACAAACCAATTAATTTACTCTTCTCCAGTCACTACCCACACATTTCGACCTTGCCAACTATTCTCTCATAACCTTGGCTGTTTCTATTTCACAGCGTATGTGTGTATCGCTTACTCTATTTATCACATGTCTTCAGCTTATCTCTGTCTAGCTATAAGAATGTAGTCACCTCTTATCAAATTGAGTTGACGCACTCGTCTTCTCCGTGTCGCTGCGCTTTTCTGCTTCGCTCCGCCTTCCTGCTGAGCTGTGCTTTTCCACTTCTCATCCTAATGCCTGTCTGCATAAACTAGTGCATGAAATAAATTCATCTGACTGAATCTGTATTTGGCTCCTCGTTACCGCCGTCGCTCAAATGCGGTTAGTCCATGTGTAATAAGTGGGATTGAACGGAAGATGTAGTTTCATTTTTTATGTAATCCTACTTCTTATTTGAATTTTCTTTATAATATATTAATTATATTTTTTTGGATATTGCATATTTATGTCCTTTTATTCATCATTGCAATTGTTTAATTTTTTTATTTTCAAACGAAAGCTTTTTCATACTCTATCATGTATAATTTTGGACAGTTAGCTATTTTATTCCTTTAATTCAGATTGTTGGGGACTTTAGATCCCCAGATCTCTATTGACATACGTCCTATTTTTGGATACTTTTGTTTTAGATCATCGGCTGTTCAGTTGACTTGGAGATTATATATCCTTCTGGGAAAATCCTTGACTGGTATTTGTTGGTGTATTATTTTAGTATGCTATTTTTTGGTGGCTCTCCTAACGACGTTTCTGTCATGTATAAATGAACTCGATTTTTGTGCTTGTGAACCTTAATTTTCTGGATACTTGTAGAATACTTTTCCTACGCCATATCAAGACTTCTTCTTCTATTTAGTGAGGCCTTGGCACACTGTGATTAGAGTAGCCGATCGTGTCACAATGCATCATTTGTCTTCGCTCTCGTTTACCGAGTAAGGTGAATTCGTCATAGCATTGAAGAATATCAACGGGTGACGAGTATAACACAGATGAAGATGAAGACCAATGTATGTTTATCCTAATTTTGAGAAGTAAATCTTAGAGAATACTATCTTGAATTCCATCGCTGTTAAGTTTTTCAGTAATGCTTATTTTCTAAAATGTGTCAAATAACTTTTGATCATTATGAGTCACATGATATCGTGACTGTATGGGGTGGGAAATTGAATAACTACGAAAGCCATCATCCAGAAGATACAAGTATTCCTTAACGGGTGTCAAAGGAAAATATTTCGGATCCGTCGGCCGGACATTATCAACAACAATCTACTGTGGTAGAGAACAAACTAGGTTCCAGCAGACGAAGAAATCACGAAGAAGTGATGGGAGCGGATAGGACACACATTGAGGAAAGTACCGAACTGGACTTCAAGACAAGCCCTAACTTGGAAACCTGAATGTCAAATGAAAAGATGAAGGCCAAAAACACATGAGAAAAGTGAACAAAAATTGGACAGAACTGGAAAAGGAAGCCCAGCATACAGTAGGCTGTAGCATACTGGTCACCGGCCTGTGCTCCATTAGGGGGTAACAGGCGAAAGTAAGCAAATCCTTTGATATGTTTGGATGATGACAAGAAAAGTCGAATATTATCAGAATTATGTGATAGATATGAGTAATACATTTGGAACAATATTTATGCCTGATTTATTTGGAACACAATGTATGCTCTACATTGTATTATGTCATAAAACACATTTCCATATTCAGCTGATCAATAATTTAATGAGTGAGATTTTTACACAAAATGCATCTCCTGAAGAAGCAGACAAACCAGACAGATACAACGCAGAACTTTGTACATAAGTACATCAGTTCAGGTTGTCATACCGAATCAGCACAGAGACGTAACTGTCAGTTCAAATCCAAGAGTGATAGCGATAGTAGAATTATTAGGAGCGATGGAGAAGATTAGGGATCGAAAATATGATTCGAAAAGTACAATTCAGTGAGACAAATTTAGAGGGAGAAAGATAGAGATTATAAGGAATCCAGAAGGTTAGAATTAAAAAGCACACAAAGAGTGGATGCCCCTGCACCATTGCAAACGATTTTGAACCATGTCGTTCGTATAAGTTATCTAACCATTGGTGACTTTCGTCTCGAGGACCCCAACCAGGTAGTCTACATCTACCAACATGACTCAGTTCACTTATCAGTGAATTCGTGGATTTCTGCCATGTTTTGTTCTGGCCTCCTCTTGCTTTCTCCCAACCTACTCCTACACCACAAAACACAGCTTGTCGCGGCAGTCGGTGGTTAGGCATACGTAACACATGTCCCAACCACCTCAACTGATGAAGTTTCACCACTCCATCTACTGCGTTGCTTACTCGATCGTCCCAGGATACGCGAGCAATGCTTCGGATATACCTATGATCGAAGACTAGTAACCTACGAATGTCCTCTACTCTTAACGGCCATGTTTCGCATCCTGAGTAAGCATCGATGTTTTATTAAGTATTAATCCCTTTACAAAATGAATGAACAAGATCGCATAAAAATATAAAAATCTGAGTTATTTTCGAGAAATGTATTACATAATTCTGTTCACCTATGATACAGCACTGATCAATATTTTTAAAGGCATATAAGCAAGTAGTCATAGTGAGTAACCGATTTCAACGGAAGCGGACATACAAAAAATCCACTAAATCATAATAAGAAATGCCATTTTAATGAAAATAATTTTATTACTGAAATCATGAATGAATTTTTGTTAGACTATCATCAGAAACTTAGAAGCATAAAACGACCATTTCGTCCTATGGTATGGAACTCATCAGGAGTGCACATCCATGACCTCTGCTAATCTCAGGATTTGAGATCGGCGTTGCTTGCGAACACTTAACCTCCGGAAAACTGGGCAGGCATCCAACAGTGTTTTCGTCTAACTCTGATCAATCTAAAGATTTTGCGCAACGTAACCCATTTTTATTCAGTAGCTACTGCCAACACCCGACAGGGTTGAACTCCACTAGTCACGCCTTCCCCTTAGAACTTCGAGAATTCCCTCATAAAGCTAGTCACTAGTAAGCAAATGGTACTACCCGTGTACGTAACCAGTGAAGCTCAACCCTATCGGGTGTAGGCAGTAACTATTGAGTACAGTGGGTGAGGTTGCGTGAAATCCCTAGATTGATCAGAGTTAGACATTATCACTGTTAGACATCGGCCCATTGATCCAGAGGTTTGGTGTTCGCACAAAAGACCGAAGAGGCAGGGTTCGGATTGCGCAAGTAGCAAGAGTCGTGGATGCGCATTGCTGACCAGTCCCATACGAAGATAAAAACGACTGTCGAGTACTCTAAGCTTTCTAACGATGGTCTAACAATGACTGATTCATAATTTGAGTCATAAACAACAATCACCATAATTCTGTAATGAGAAGATCGTTTTCAATATGAATTTTTTTTGTTGAATCAATATAAAAATGAAGTTATTTTTCTGCGCCTCTGTTACAGAATATTCAAATAAGAAAGAGGAATTTTCATCAAAAATAATCAACTCAATATGATGGATTACAGAATTGTTCTAAATAATTACGTGTACAACCAATACAACAACATTGTGTTACAACTTGATCTGGTTCATAGATAGCATACAATGTGCATAGATCATCGAAACGTTTACGCCGTTGTAGCATTCTTTCTAAATCTGCAGAATATACATAAACACACACACACAGAAAGAGAAAGAGAGATCAATAGGTAGAACATATGGCAGATCAATATCACAGAATTTTATATGATATAATGAAACTTGTTTTTCAGGAAAAATCGTTGATATTATATAGTGTCCATATCATTTACCAGTGAGAATAAACGTTAAGCGGATGAAATGTCGTTATAATCTTGTCGAAACCTCACCTGGAGAACCTTTGGGGCTACTGCCGGTCCCAAGCTCGGATAAAGGAGGGGGGCTGGGCATGGGGTTGGCGACAAAATCCCACCAAAATAAACTAAATTGCCAAATAAAAAACGCTCACCAGGAAAAAAAATATATAATCTTGTCAACAGTTGAAGTGTATCTGATCTAGCGGTTTATAACACACTACAGTTGTAAACGTTCGACTAACTCAGCCGAAGCATTTTCTTTTCGAACTGAAGATTGTAGGGATGTGAAAAACAAGTTTTGTGAATTTATTCAAATTGAGCACAATGTAACTACGTTTTAGACATGGAGGTAGGCATATAAATATTATATTTCCTCACTTATCTTATCACAACTATACTACGTTTACAGATAACGAATATACACTTCCACGATCAGACATTTATTGAAAATATGAATAAATCCTTGCATTGAAATCATGAATCAATCATTGGTAGACCACAATTAGACGAAAACTGGAAGCATTGGACGGCCGTTTCGTCCTATGGTATGGGACTCATCAGCGGTGTACATCCACGACTCCCGCTACTGGTAGGATACAAACCCAGCACCTTCGATCATGCGCGAGAACACTTAAACTCTGGAAAACTGGGTCGGCATCTAACAGAGACAGTGTTTAATTCTGATCAACCTAAGGATTTTGCGCAACTTCACGCGTTATTGTCTTCAGTAGTTACTGCCTACAACCTACATGGTTGGACTTCACTGGTTACATCTTCTCACTAGGATTCTGAGAATTTCTTGATGAAGCTAGTCACTAGTGAGCATGTTTTTCGACTTTGGAGTTCGTTGTTTGACAATGAAATCATTAATCGTATGAATTTTGCATTCTCAAATAGTTGTCAGTTTTTAAGAATTAAACGAAATATTTTCAGTAGCATTTTATAGAATCTTTACACTGAAAAAGGTCACTTTTGATTTGACAATTAATTCAGCTCATTGTTTAGTAGACATTGCTTCACATACACCGATCTGTAAGATTCAATGATGCAGCCCAAAGAGGTATCCTCTGGTGTTTCTAACTGTCGTACTAGGTAAGGATAGCAGGTCAATTGATAAAGTAGTGAGTTCCCAACGGTTGAGGTGGTTGCGATATGTGTTACGTATGCCTAACACACCGATTGCCTCGACAAGTAATGTTTTGTGATGTGGGTGTAGGCTGGATGAAAGCCAGTGGCGGCCAAACCAAAACATGGCACAAATTCATTAAATCACTGACAAGTAAACTAAGCCTTATGTTGGTAGATGTAGACCACCTGAATGAAGTCTTCGACACGATAGTAACCGATGGTTTGAGATCTTGGTTCAAAATCGTTGGCAATAGAACAGTTGTATCCATTCTTTGTCTTCTCTCATAACCTCATGAGCTAAGAAGTTTTTCTTATATCCTTTTTTCAAACTGTATTTCGTTGGTTTATACATTGTGAATAATTTCTCCGAACCTCGATCGAATGGTTGTTACTGACGTTTTGAATATATATATATATATATGTAATTCAGTCTTTTTTTCCTAACAAAATACTATATCACAAAACTATGCATTCAATGTCTAAGATTGATAGTAACATTGTAATAAAACGATTATTTAGACTAGACATTGATTGATCAGTTATTTACTTTTTTAGCTTACGAAACATTCACCAACTTGTTTCTGACAATCATCCAACATTGACTGTCTGATTTTGGAATTTTACATTGGGAAAATAAATATTTTTTGTGGGGGAAAAAAACCTCATTTCTAAACATTTTTGCAGGTTACACGTACTAAACAAAAGAAGCGATTTATCTACAGCTTCACTAAACTGGGCATGATTGAATCGAAAAAAAATACAGCAGTCTTTATCACTCTTAATGACTGTTGTACACTGAAATCGCTGGTCCAGTGGTCCAGAGCTTAGGCGTTGGCACACAAGACCATAGGTCCTGGGTTCGAATCCTGCCAGGTACAGAAGTCGTGGATGCACACTGTCACTGATGAGTCCCATAACATAGGACGAAACAACCGTCTACCAGTGCTTGCAGGCTTCTTTTAAAGCTGGTCTAATAATGATTGATTGATGATTTCAAATAATCAAAAAAATGGCGATGAATTGGATCAGTCAGTGAAGAATAATTTTCATTGAATACGTTGGGATTCAATGAATGAGAAAAGAATGGAGTTGACCAGCTTTTTTTAAATAGAAAATCTAACAGAAATGTCCATTGCAAATTTCAAAAGTATAAACAAACGGATGACAAAGGTTATGTATTGATACATTGATTTAAATACTTCACAATAATTTAATGTTTATATTTCAAAGAAATTGAATACATTTTAATCGGTGATTAACCTTTTCACATTCAATACAATAGGTTTATTTACACGCACACACACACATACACACACAAAAAACGACACCAAATAAGTATTTCACAGTGCGAATAAATGATCTTCTTTTCAGAGATTGATTTCAATTCATGTTTTATGGTTTTATGCGAAAAAAAACAATCATGATCAAGTTTGTTTACGCATTTTTTGACATCAAGATTTATCTATCTATTTATCTACACGTCTATCTATCTATCTATCTATCTATCTATCCACATATCTATCTATCTATCTATCTATCTGCACATCTATCTATCTATCTAACTAACTAACTATCTATCTATCCGCACATCTATCTATCTAACTAACTATCTATCTATCCATATATATATATATATATATATATATATATATATATATATATATATATATATATAATTCTAACCTTCTGAATTCCTTATAATCTCTATCTTTCTCCTTCTAAATTTATCTCACTGAATTGTACTTTTCGAATCATATCTTCGCTCCCTAATCTTCTCCATCGCTGCTAATAATTCTACTATCGCTAACACTATTGGATTTGAACCGACAGTTACGTCTCTGTGCTAATTCGGTATGACAACCTGAACTGATGTACTGATGTACAAAGTTCTGCGTTGTATCTGTCTGTCTGTCTGTCTGTCTGCTTCTTCAGGAGATGCATTTTGTGTAAAAGTTTCACTCATTAAATTATTGATCAGCTTAACATGGAAATGTGTTTTATGACATAATACAATGTAGAGCATACATTGTGCTCCAAATAAATCAGGCTTAAATATTGTTCCAAATGTATTACGCATATCTATCACATAATTCTGATAATATTCGACTTTTCTTGTCATCATCCAAACATATCGAAGGACTTGCTAACTTTCACCTTTTACCCCCTAATGGAGCACAGGCCATTGACCAGTATGCTACAGCCTACTGTATCCTAGACTTCTTCTTCCAGTTCTGTCCAATTTTTGTTCACTCCTCTCATGTGTTTCTGGCCTTTATTTAAAAGAAGGTCAAACTTTACATTCCGAATTAAAGGAATTGTGTTTTCTTTCACAGACCAGTGTAAGTAATCATTATTAGACGATCTGTATTTTAATATCATGGTGTATAGTTCCAGTGATCAGAATCCGAGCTACATCTCCTGTTATGTATTATAGGTAATTGTCCATAACATAAGGTTTTAATCATTGTTAAGAGATTGAATGACTAAGTTGCTTACTTACTTTAGCCTGTTACCCCTAATGGAGCATATGCCGCCCACACGTTTTCTCCAACCTACTCTGTGCCAGGCTTCCTTTTCCAGTTCTTTCCAATTTTTTGTTCATTTTTCTCACATCTATTTGCCTGCGTAATGTGTGCCTTAGCCTTCCTCTTTTCCTTTTACCTTGAGGGTTCTAAGAGAGGGCTTGTCTTATGAGGCAGTTGAGTGCTTTCTGTAGTGTATGTCCTTTCCACTTCCATGGCTTCTTCATGATTCCCTCTTCTTCTGGAATCTGGTTTGTTCTCTCTCACCGTAAGTTGTTGTTGATGGGGTCTGGTCAGCGGATTTGAAGTATTTTGCATAGAAAACTGGTAATGAATACTTGTATCTTCTGGATGATGGCTTTCGTAGTTCTCCAAGTTTCCGCCTCTTACAGTAGGATTGTCTTGAAATTTGTGTCGAAAATTCTGATCTTTTTCCTGATTTCCTCCTCCACTGGAATCTGGTTTGTTCTCGCTCACATTAGGTAGTTGTTGATGGTGTCCGACCAACCAATCCGAAGTATTTTGCTTGGGTATTAATAAACAGTGTTTTGTGCACATCAATCAAGTTCAATTAAGTTTTAAGATGACTGAGAAGTTTCCGTTAGATGTCGGTTCTTTGTAGTAGCCCCAACATAAAATTCGTGAAGGTATATTTCGACATAATACAATTTTTCCTATGATATGAATATAGCTTTTCGTTTAAACAGTGTGTCGCAGATTTATTGATGTGGGTTAGTATAGCAAGGGCAGTATTTCTACAATTGTTGAACAGCTAGAATTCAAAACAACCGTCATTCAACAAAAATGTCACAAGTTCCAATATGAATGTCAAAACTGTTCTATTTTATGGAGAACGATGAAAGCCATCATTCGAAAGATACAACTGTTCATAAACAGTTTTTTAAGCAAGATTTTTCAGATCTATTGGCTAGATACCATCAGAAACAACCTACTTTGTGATAGAACAAACTAGATTTCAGCGGAGGAAGAAAACAGGAAGAAGCACAGGGAGTTGGATAGGACTCATTGGGGAAGTCACCCAACTACATCATCGTGGCGAAAGAAAAAGAGGAAGACCAAAGAACACATTACGCCGAGAAATGGAGACATACATGAGAAGAATAAACAACATTTGAACAAGACAAGAAAAGGCAGCCCAACGCAGAGTAGGTTGGATAACATTAGTCGGCGGCTTATGCTTCATTAGAGATAACAGGTATAAGTAAGAAAGTTTAAGCAATTATCATCAACACAGACTAGATTTATAATCTCTTCAGTAATTTATTTATGTTCGTGAATTTCAAAACTCATCATTCTTTAAAGTACTTTTAAGTCAAGGGAATAATCATTGACAATGACTAAATCCATTGTACAATACAATAAGTTCGATCAATATTCAATGTACTAATAAAGTTAAGAAAAAAAAGTACATTCGAATCATTCATTGCATTGTATTCTTTGTCATTTTGATGAAATAATGACAGAAAAAAAATTTTGTTTGACGTGCAAAATTCACTCATTCACTATTTTCAAAAGTGCATCGGATGAACAATTCAGTATAAAAGTTTAAATTAAGAAAATGATAAAAAAAATTTTCTCCCTTAATGTTTAATCAGAGTATGCAAACATTTCAATTAATACTTGAATGACATTTTTCACACACATATTGTGATGATGTTTCGAATTCTCTGAGCTGTGAATGTTTTGATTGTGGAGCTTTCTATTGTTGTTCTTCTGCTGAACAACAACATCATCATCAGCGCAAAACTTCAGATAGAAGAGAACGCAACATCATCACAGTCATCCAACTGAGCTATAAATTTTTATACATTTCAGTCAGTCAGTCAGTCAGTTGCAACGTAGAACTCCGTACGTAAGTACATCAGTTCATGTTGCCATACCACATCAGCACACAGAGATATGTCAATTCAAATCCAATAGTAGTAGAGGTAGTAAAGGTATTAGAAGTGATCGGAGAGGTTAGGATTAGAAGATACTATTCAAGAAGTATAATTGAGTAAGAAAAGTTTAGAAAGTCAAAAGTAGAGGGGTTGAAGTATTCTAGAAGATTAGGATGTGAGAGAACACAGAGAATAAATGCACTGGCACCATCGCGAAACGATTTTGAGCCATGTCATTCAAGGTCTCTAACCATCGATTATTTCTCATCTCGAGGACCCCAACCAGGTAGTCGACAATTACCGACATGGCTAAGTCCACTTGTCACTGACTTCATGGATTTTTACCATGTTTTGGTTTGGCCACCCCTAACTTCCTTCCATCTTATTCCTACACTACAAAACGTAGCTCTTCGAGGCAGTCGGTGGTTAGTCATACGCAGCACATGTCCCAACCACCTCAACTGATGAAGTTTCATTACTTCATCGATTGATTTATTCATACATTTTCGATTTTAAATTAGTACATTATGTGTAGATTGTCCGATTATTATTATTATTTCTATTATTACTGTTGTTGGCTCCTTAAAAATATATCTAAGCTTTTGAGAATTCATTTACTAGTATTAACATTCAAAGTTATTAACTCTAACTTAAATGCAGCAATGAAATTTTATAATAATTTTGCTTTGATCACAGTTTTTCCAAAACTCACTTCACTTGTATTACCGTAATGAATCGTTCAGTGTTAGACCGTCATCAGAAACCTGGAAGCACTGAATGGCCGTTTCATCCCATAATATGGGACTCGTCGGCAGTGCGCATCCGCGACTGCTGCAACTCGTAGGATTCGAACACCAAGACCTACGATCTCGAGTGTAGGCAGTAACTAGAAAAACTAATCAATGAAGTAGAGTGAGTAAAGTTAGACATCAACACTATCGGATGCTGGTTCAGTGGTCTAGAGGCTTAGCGTTTACGCACATGAGACCGAAAGTTCTGGACGCTCACAAGCGAGGAGTCCCGTACTAGGATGAAACGACTGTTTAACGCTTTCAGGTTTCTAACAGTGTTCTAACATTGATCAACTCACAGCTACAATGAATGTGCATTTATTTCTAAGGTTACATAGTGTTGTGTTCGTCACTATGTATGCTTGAGGCTATTACGAGTTCACCTTAGTCGATAAACGCGAACGAGACAATCAACCAGCGTCCAGATAGGCTACCTTGAATCCCAAGCTGTAAAACACAAGTCTTGGTAAGCGTAGAAAGTATATTCTACAAACACACAGCAACCACACAATACAATCAATCACACAACTCTCGTTTATTTATACATCATAGAAACGTTCTTGGGACAGTCACAAAAAATAGCACACTAAAATACACAGCACCCAATCACAGCCATGCATTTTCCTGGTGGGAAATGAAATCTCAAGATCAACTGATCAGCCGATGCTGGCACACGTGAAATCCAAAATAAGGCATTTAACAAGCGAGTTTCGGGGATCTAACATCCCCAACATATAGATCAGAATATTTTGTCGAAAAAATGAATTTCATAAATGATGAACGTTTTTGTTGCATATAACCATGCTATACAATTGTAAACAATTCACTTTAGTCGAAAATAAAAAAAAGCAAACTCGGAACTGGGAAACTTCTGTTTAACTATTTGCATGTTTGTTATGTCTATTGCGCAATATTTGTAAATATTTGTATTTGACAGTTTATGCATGGAACCAGAAAAATACAGTGTCTACCATCAAAACTATTGATCATGGATTGTCATTGTAAGTCTGTGAGCGAGATCGAGACAGACAGACAGAGTGAAATGACTAGACACAAGTATGCAAAAACAGCATTACGTTGTCTGAATGAGTCAGTTGGTGGCGGGAAAAATGCATTGGATTTCATTCAAATAAATGTGGGAACATTTGATATGAATTTATTATTATTATTATTATTATTATTATTATTATTACTGTTTAGGCATTCATTCTGTTTTACTTCGTAAAAAAGGCTTAAAACCCTACTGACACATTACTTTTCAGTTTTTTCCAGTTTTTAATAAACAAAATGAACTGAAATTAGACCCTTTTTTTATCAGAAATTTGGTGTAATTTAATCGGAAATGAAATATTGCCACGATAATCATGGATTATTCATTGTGGATAGTAAATTAAACTGTTTTATTCGCCTCAATCATTAGTGATTCTTAACTGAGTTAATTGATTGATTCACTTAGGTAATTATCTTCATGTTTAGGGTTGTGGATGTGGGGGGCAGTTACTCACTGAAGACAATGAATGAGGTCGGACACTATTGTGGATCGAGTGAAATTAGACATCAACAACGATAGATACTGGCTCAGTGGTGTAGAGATTAAGTATTCAAATGAGAGATCAAAAGTCTCGGGTTCGATTCCCACGGGTTATGAATGCACACTGCTGATGAGTCCTATACTAGGACGAAACAGTCAGGTTTTTAATGGTAGCCTAACATTATTGATCAATGAAATTTTGTTATGATACCTAGAATGAAAATTCTTTTCCAGTTATATTTACTAGCTGTCCAGTTGAACTAATTTGATGAAGGTAGAATACTTTCGCGTGATCAAATTCTTGCATAACGAATTATAACTTCGAATTTTGAATTTTCATCATGGATATTGTCGCGGACGTTAGATCCCAAGCAATCACTTGACAAAGGTCCTAATTTTGAACTTCTTATATTCGCACAAATAAGATTCTCGGTTGACCTTGAGATTACATTTACCACTCAGAAAATCCTCGACTTTCATTGGTTGATGTATTATTTTAGTTCACTAATGTCCCGAGGAAGTTTCTATCATGTAAAAATCATCCCGATTTGTGTGCTTGTCAAGCTCGTATTTTCGTGGTGCAGGTAGAATACACATTCTACGCCGTATCAAGACTTCTTGATGTAGTTAGCCTGGCCGGGGACAAACGGATTAGAATTGCCTGTCGTGTCACTGTGTCATTTATCTTCGCTCCGTTTACCGAATAAGGTGAACTCGTAATCATTTCAGGCATATCATTTGACAAGCATATCAGATATCAATCGAAAAGCTAATATTCTACAGTAAATTTATCTATGTACACAACTAGTATTGAGATAAATGAACAGTTGTTAATTAAATGTTATCATGTAGTAGTAGTAGTAGTAGTAGTAGTAGTAGTAGTAGTAGTAGTAGTAGTTGGAGTAGTAGTAGTAGTAGTAGTAGTAGTAGTTGTAGTTGTAGTAGTATTAGTAGTAGTAGTAGTAGTAGTAGTAGTAGTAGTGGTAGTAGTAGTAGTAGTAGTAGTAGTAGTAGTAGTTGGAGTAGTAGTAGTAGTAGTAGTAGTAGTAGTAGTAGTAGTAGTAGTAGTAGTAGTAGTAGTAGTAGTAGTAGTTGTAGTAGTAGTAGTAGTAGTAGTAGTAGTAGTAGTAGTAGTAGTAGTAGTAGTAGTTGTAGTAGTAGTAGTAGTAGTAGTAGTAGTAGTAGTAGTTGGAGTAGTAGTTGGAGTAGTAGTAGTAGTAGTAGTAGTAGTAGTAGTAGTAGTAGTAGTAGTAGTAGTAGTTGTAGTAGTAGTTGGAGTAGTAGTAGTAGTAGTAGTAGTAGTAGTAGTAGTAGTAGTAGTAGTAGTAGTAGTAGTAGTAGTAGTAGTAGTAGTAGTAGTAGTAGTAGTAGTAGTAGTAGTAGTAGTTGTAGTAGTAGTAGTAGTAGTAGTAGTAGTAGTAGTATAAAATTATGAAAATCAGTCAAACTATAAATCAGTAGGTCATTAGTTAATCTTTATCAAGTCAATGTACCTGTGGTGTATGTGGGCTCACCGATTCTGTGGCGATCGGTATTCCATATATTCTTAAACTTTGTATACTGTTCATTCTGACGACAGTTATTAGATAACACCCAACAGTATATAAATCTGAAGCGTTGAATGGATTTTTTTAGAAATAGAAACTCCTCCAGTAGAACCTTAGGGGCTACTGCTGGTCCCAAGCCCGGATAAAGGAGGAGGGTTGGACATGGAGTTGGCGACCCCATTCCGTCGAAATCTAACTTGCCAAAACAACGCTAACCAGAAAAAATAATACAAACCATTTTAACTCTGCCCTGGGAGTTGGAAGAAGAATTATGACATCGAGTGATGAAAGCCGAGTTCCCTCGGAAGTCACGGGGCCGATGTGGGAGAGAACAAACTAGATTCCAATGAAGGAGGAAATCAGGAAGAAGCGGTGGAAGTGGATAGGACACACACTACAAAAAGCACCTAACTGCGTCACGAGATAAGCCCTCACGTGGAACCCTCAAGGCTAAAGGAAAAGAGGAAGGCCAAGGAACACATTACGCCGAGAAATAGAGAAAGATATGAGAAGAATCAACAAAAATTGGACAGAACTGGAAAGGATTGGCCAGAACAGATTTGGGTGGAGAAAACTGGTGGGCGGCATATGCTGCATTAGGGGTAACAGGCGTAAGTAAGTAAGTAAGTTAGTACCATTAATAGACCACCAAAACCACAAACACGTGAAGCCAAATGTTAAGCTAGTGAGCAAGTGGGTAAGTCAGTCATTGGAAAGGATTTAAACGTACATATATATATATATATATATATATATCGAAATTTTATAAGAGGCTAACATGAAATCGAATCGAATGAATATATATTTGTAGGTGATAAGCCATGCTCAGCCATACTTGCTCCGAAAAGCACGACAATAATTTAAAGCCAATGGTCCAGATAAGTTATTGCAATTCAAATAACTCTGTCTGTTAAATTAGTTAATCAAAACGGTTTAACCATTATCGAACATGAACAACCGCAAATCTTTGTGAGGAATTGCATATACTGAATCTGTCGTTTTTACAAAAAAAAATTTATTACACACAATTTTGACTTACCAAAATATTTTGATGTGGATCTTTTCAAACGCTTTACTGGTGTATAAATTCCTCGTACAGCACAGACACGTTTAAGATTTTGCAAGAATACATTACCACACATACGTACTGGGGGATCATTGTTCATGATAGTTGGATAATTGGTGATTGTGTTCTGTTCTGGCATAGTTTGTGTCATAGAATGTAGTTTAATTTGTGCGGAATTTTTAATTGTACATAAATAAAACACTAACGTTATTAACATGAAATAAGAAAAGTGTATTTGCATTTGGCTAAGTCGTGTAAATATAATTTTTTTGTTAGCGACAGACAAGTACGATTTTCTTTTTTTAAATCAAGGAAATTATTTTGTTATATCGAATGATAGTACTGAAAAGATGTTTTATAAGTATATGATGTTATTCGGGAGGATAGGACAAGGGGAAATACACGTTGAGAGTTGATATCACACACAGAAAAAAATGTTTTCGCTAATTATATACTTAAATGTACCTTGTATTTCCTTTGAAAGTATATATATATATATATATATATATATATATATATATATATATATATATATATATATATATATATATATATATATATATATATATATATATATATATATATATATATATATATGTCGATTAATGTCAGCTTGTCTAGATCACCGTCGATAAATTAATTTGATGGCAAAAGTACGCTGTTCTATATACTTAACCAATCAAAAGTTTCACTTTGCATAATGATTAACCTCAAATTGTGTCATTGAATATCACATTGAAAGTGTATGCATTTGTACAATAGATATATATATATCTGTCTGCTATACATTTAGTTCGGTTTATTTTGACAAAAAAACCGATAAAAAGTTCATTTTTCAACTTGATTAAAGCATAAAGTACTTATAAATGTGTACTATTCATCCCTGAACTAAATAACTAATCGGACAATCAGATGAGCATTTGAAGTTGAAAAAAGAAGTGTATGTTTTGTTTGATGATGAGAATGATTACATCAAGCGGTAAGCATACATTCAACTTTGGAATTTTAAATAAGATGGAAAATCAGTTATGAATTTCATTAGGAATCAATATAGAAGTGTGTTTAATGAAGAAAACTTTTAACCCTGTAAAACGTTGAAATCTTCTTCGCTTTGTTGGAATTTCTGAATCAGAAGCTTAACTCTGCCTAGAGCAATTCTGGGATTACTGTCAGTCTCCAAGCCTAGATAAAAGAGGAGAGTTTGGCATGGCGTTGGGGATGTTAGATCCCCAAAAGTCTCTTGATAAATGCTTATTTTGGATTTCACGTTTACGACCATGGGTTGATCAGATGACCTTGAGATTTCATTTCCCATCGGGAAATTTCTTGGCTGTGATTGGCTGCCGTGTATTTTGAGTGTGCTATTTTTGTGACTGTTTCAAGCACGTTTCTATGATGTATAATTAAAAGAGAGTTGTGTGCTTGATTGTATTGTGTGATTGCTGGGTGTTTGTAGAATATACTTTCTACGCTTATCAAGACTTCTGTTTTGCAGTTCGGGATTCAAAGTAGCCTACCTGAACGCTGGTTCATTGTATCGTTCGCGTTTATCGACTAAGGTGAACTCGTAATTGCTTCTAGCGTACCAAGTGACGAACATAACTCATGGGGTTATCGACCCGATCCCATAGAAATCCTATTGGCTAGAAAAAATGCTAAGCAGAAAAAATAATTCGCTGGTAGGTATCCTATGCTCTATTAAAGGTAACATATGTGAGTAAGTAAGTATGTAAGTAAGTAAGTACGTAGGTAAACAAGTAAGTAAGTAAGGAATTAGGTAGGCAAGTAAGTAAGTAAGTAAGTAAGTAGTAGGTATTTTGTCGATAAATAACAGCACACGACAGTCATCTTTATTAATATATATAATTCCTAAAATATTGTCTTCAGTTTTTTCAAGAAACTATAGTATAAAATACAATAATCTATTTGGAGTAACAATGTTGGAAATATAAGTCAAATAGTAAATGTGTACTCATCCAGATGAAAACTAATTTTTCTTTTCACCCGAAAATAATAGATTCACTATTTGAAAAACAGTGCGGAAATATTATTTTCAAAAGCAGAGAACTTTAATGAATAGTGTGTAAACATTAGAAAGGAATTTGCATAAATTTATCTATTTTTTATGTTGTCGTTGTCAGTTCATACCACAGAAATAATGTTTAATTGAAGTTGTCAATCAATCATCATTAGACTACCATTAGGAACTTGGAAGCACTAGAAAACCGTTTTATCGTAGTATGGACCTCTTCAGCTATGCGTATCCAAGCAGCCATCCAGTAGTTCCCGGCTTCTGTTGGGGAAGAAGACTGTAAACAAACCATGTGCGCGAAATTATTATTTTCCCCAAAAGCAGAGAACTTTAATGAATAGTGTGTAAACATTAGGCAAAGTGAAATTTGCAATAAAATTTAATCTATAATTGTTTATGTTGTCGTTGTCAGGTCTCAATACAGCAGAAGAAATAATGTTTAAAGATTGGAAGTTGGGTCACGTCAATCATCAGTTACAGACTACCAATTAGGAAACTTGTGAAGGCACTTAGAAAACGCGTTTAATGTCGTTAGTACTGGACGTCCTTCAAGCTCATGCGATATCCATCAAGCAGCCATCCAGGTACAGTAGTTACCCGGGGTGGGAACATTCTGTTGGGGAAGAAGACTGTAAACGATCCACAGCCTGATTCATCCGACTAATGCACCAACATCAATGGAAACGAAGCAGCAAAGGCAATCCTATTACGAAGTGGAATGCCCTGTGTTCGCCCGCGACTACAAAACAAATCATGGTCCCTGGGTTGAAGCGCAAGTGATCAGAAAATTCGGGCGCGTTATGTACGAAGTAGAGGTCGGAGGCGAAACATGGTCACGCCGTCGGAACCAGATACGCTAACGGCTAGCCCCAGATCGTCCATCAAGAGCAGAAAATTTTCCCCTTGACATCCTGCTTGATACCTTCAACCTACCAGCAGCTCTCCCATGAGAAGAAACTCAGTCACATGCTGATCTCATTTCCCGAAGTTATCCTCCCAGACAGCGGCAAACAGCAGTCAAGTTACAAGTCGACCCCAGGAGCGCACGCTACTAAACAGGGGATGAGTGTTTGGGATGTTAGATCCCCAGAACTCGCTTGATAAATATCTTTATTTTGGATTTATTTCATCGACCGATCAGCTGACCTTGAGATCACATTTCCCTGCAGGAAAATCCTTGACTGTGATTGGCTGTTGTGTATTTTGAGTATGCTATTGTTATGACTTCCAAAGGACGTCTCTATGATGTATATATAAACTTGTGACTGTCCAAAGGACGTTTCCATGATGTATAAATAAACGCGATTTGAGTGCTTGGATTCATTGTGTGCTGGCTGGGTGTTTGTAGAATACAATTTCTACACTATATCAAGACTTCTTGCTGATACCTTTTGGTCAAGAGATCACAGTAGCCTACCTGGACGCTGGTTCATTGTTTTGTTCTCGTTATTCGATTAAGGTGAACTCGTAATAGTTTAAGCATACCTAGAGATGAGCGTAACAGTTTCTAATGATATTCTAACAATGATTGATTCATGATTTCAATGTAAAACACCAATCTTCATAACTCTGTAATGAGGCAAGTACAACAAACTACGGGCCAAATGTGGAGAAATTCGAATACTTCATTTCTGCTATCTGAAGAAGTTTATGCTGATGATGATGTTGTGTTCTGCAGAAGAACAATGATGAAAGTTCCATCACCAAAACATCCTGAGAGGTGCAGGAGTCGTGGATGTGTACTACCACTGATGAGTCTAGTGTGTCTAGGTTTCTGATGATTGTTCAACGCCGATCAATTCCTAATTTCAAAAGTAACTCAACATTCTCCGCAACGGCATGTTGTAACCTACAAATGTGTAAAATCAGGAGTTGTAATTCCAGTGTAAGATCTTTAAATCATGTTTAATGTTTAGTCTTAATGGCTTTTAGTATAAGACAACTGTCTAGTTCGACCTAATATTTAGAAGTAAGTCAATAATTTTTTGAAGATTCACAAAACCTGGAATGCTTGAAAAATATTCATTCAAATTAATTGACTGATATGAAATCTGGTTAGTTCAATCAAAGTCAGTTAGTCAGTCATTTACAACGTAGAACTTCGTACATAAGTACATAAGTGCAGGTTGCCATACTCCATCCGAACAGGGGCGCATTTGCCAGTTCAAATCCCATGGTGATAGAGATATTAGAAGTTTTAGCAGTAATAGAGAAGATTAGGGAGCGAAGATATGATTCGAGAAGTATAATTCAGTGAGATAAATTTAGAAAGAGAAAGATAGATGTGATGACGAATTCAGAAGGCTTCAATTTCATAGAACAAAAAGAGTAAATGCACCTGCGCCATTGTAAACGGTTTTGAGTCATGTCACTCAAGGTCTCTAATCATCGATTACTAACATCTGGCTTGCCCCAACCACATAGTCGACACCTACCAACATGACTTAGTCCAGTTGTCAGTGACTTCATGTGTAGTGAATGAGAACACAGGTGGAGGCAACCGAATTGTATTTAACGGAAATTACAGAGTTACTCAGTAAAATCGGAAAACCATATCGTAAATCGTTCATTTGCAAAAGATCAGTTCATCCTATGGAACTGGACTGTTCCTGTTGCCAAACATCAATCCATTGTCACTCTTCATGCGTTTCATACAAATTCCATTGTTTTCTGACTCTTCCTTTCTTGATCTTCCCCCCATATTATGCTACCAGACTTTACGTTGACACTCACGCTATATACTACTTATAAGTAGTTCGCAACACAGCACCACACTCGTCCCCCCTTTTAATAAGCTGTCGTCGTGGTCCTTCAAAACAGAGCTCCTGGTCAGTTAATATCACCTTCCGTATTCCGTGACACGCTACACTATGCCGGATTACCACTTCGGTCATCGTTCTTGATCACTGGTCTGGAATGGATACGGCATCTATCCAACGTGTAGCGTCCACAAGTTCCCGATGCTGGAACACGGCGGCAGGCACACACTCGATAAATTGCGACGCCAAAGACTGTGCCCCGTCCACTCCTCACGGCGCAATCCGGTGAGCTCCACAGCACATGGATTTGTGTCATGTTTTGATTTGGCTGCCCCTAGCTTTCTTCGGACCTATTCTTACGTCGCAAAACATAGCTCGACGAGGCATTCGGTGGTTAGGCATAACACATGTCCCAACCATCTCACCTGATGAAGTTTGAATACTCCATCAAGTAAACTACCATCCTTACCGAATACCCGTTTCCTAACAGCACTATTGCTTACTCGGTTGTCCCACGATATACGAGCAATGCTTAGAAGACATCCATAGTCGAATACTAATAGTCTACGAATGTCTTCTACTCTTACCGGACATGCTTTGCATCCATATAGTAGGACGGAGTCAACTGCGAGGCAGTTGACTCGCCCTTTTGGTTAACGAACGGATATCTCACC